CCTGCTTGTGAGGTACCTTACTTCACTAGCGTCCTGCTTGTGAGGTACCTTACCTCACTAGCATCCTGCTTGTGAGGTACCTTACTTCACTAGCATCCTGCTTGTGAGGTACCTTACTTCACTAGCAATCCTGCTTGGTGAGGTACTTTACTTCACTAGCGTCCTGCTTGTGAGGTACCTTACTTCACTAGCATCCTGCTTGTGAGGTACCTTACTTCACTAGCATCCGCTTGTGAGGTACCTTACCTCACTAGCATCCTGCTTGTGAGGTACCTTACTTCACTAGCGTCCTGCTTGTGAGGTACCTTACTTCACTAGCATCCTGCTTGTGAGGTACCTTACTTCACTAGCATCCTGCTTGTGAGGTACCTTACCCACTAGCATCCTGCTTGTGAGGTACCTTTACTTCACTAGCATCCTGCTTGTGAGGTACCTTACTTCACTAGCATCCTGCTTGTGAGGTACCTTACCTCACTAGCATCCTGCTTGTGAGGTACCTTACTTCACTAGCGTCCTGCTTGTGAGGTACCTTACTTCACTAGCATCCTGCTTGTGAGGTACCTTACTTCACTAGCATCCTGCTTGTGAGGTACCTTACCTCACTAGCATCCTGCTTGTGAGGTACCTTACTTCACTAGCATCCTGCTTGTGAGGTACCTTACTTCACTAGCATCCTGCTTGTGAGGTACCTTACTTCACTAGCATCCGCTTGTGAGGTACCTTACTTCACTAGCATCCTGCTTGTGAGGTACCTTACTTCACTAGCATCCTGCTTGTGAGGTACCTTACTTCACTAGCATCCTGCTTGTGAGGTACCTTACTTCACTAGCATCCTGCTTGTGAGGTACCTTACTTCACTAGCATCCTGCTTGTGAGGTACCTTACTTCACTACCATCCTGCGTGTGAGGTACCTTACCTCACTAGCATCCTGCTTGTGAGGTACCTTACTTCACTAGCATCCTGCTTGTGAGGTACCTTACTTCACTACCATCCTGCTTGTGAGGTACCTTACTTATTGTGTGGCAGATTTTTCTCCTGTTTTGGAAACAAAATCAATATATTCTCCGTTTTTTGGCAAAATTAACCTATTCGGAATAAGCTATGCCGACAATGTATTCCTTAAAATAACAAAGATACATATATGCTTGGTATAAACCCACAGATCCCTGACTTTCACTAGTTAAAATATACAAAAGGAATGAACGTCAACTAAGCCTCTCTCCCTCTCTCTCTCTCTCCTCTCTCTCGCTCTCTCTCTCTCCTCTCTCTCTCCTCTCTCCATCTCTCTCTCTCCTCTCTCTCTCTCTCTCTCTCTCCTCTCTCTGTCTCTCTCCCTCTCTCTCTCTCTCTCTCTCTCTCTCTCTCTCTCTCTCTCTCTCTCTCTGGGTCTTGCAGATCAGGGCTAAAACACCGGTGATGTTTGGAAATGTATTGATTAGTTAGGCTGGCTCAACATCTACTGGTTATCGCCATGCAAGGTGAATCTGGATTTGTCTGTCTAGCCACCAGACTGCCTCTGCCAGCAATACCCAGACGATGGGCAGCCCCTATGCCTACTGTGAATCTCCAACACTTCCGCCTCGTAGGTAACACAGTCGGCACAGAGCACTAGGTGGTTCGCCTACTTATGTTCTCCCTAAAACTAAAAAGACTTTCTTTTCTAACTAAACTTTCTCCTTTCATGAAATAGAATGTAGAGATGATGATTTCATTCAGCCCAGCTTCCATTTGAAGACGGTGGCGAGCGAATGTAGTTGAACGTGAATGTTGTGGGTGAGATTGTGGTGTGTGAATGTTGTGTTGTGTGGATCTGGTCTGTGTGTTGGGTGGACCTGGTCTGTGTGTTGTGTGGACCTGGTCTGTGTGTTGAGTGGGCCTGGTCTGTGTGCTGTGTGAACCTGGTGTGTGTGCTGTGTGAACCTGGTGTGTGTGTTGTGTGGACCTGGTCTGTGTGTTGTGTGGACCTGGTCTGTGTGTTGAGTGGGCCTGGTCTGTGTGCTGTGTGAACCTGGTGTGTGTGCTGTGTGAACCTGGTGTGTGTGTTGTGTGGACCTGGTCTGTGTGTTGTGTGGACCTGGTCTGTGGTGTTGAGTGGGCCTGGTCTGTGTGCTGTGTGAACCTGGTGTGTGTGCTGTGTGAACCTGGTGTGTGTGTTGTGTGGACCTGGTCTGTGTGTTGTGTGGGCCTGGTGTGTGTGTTGTGTGGACCTGGTCTGTGTGTTGTGTGGACCTGGTCTATGTGTTGTGTGGACCTGGTCTGTGTGTTGTGTGAACCTGGTGTTTGTGTTGTGTGGACCTGGTCTGTGTGTTGTGTGGACCTGGTCTATGTGTTGTGTGGACCTGGTCTGTGTGTTGTGTGAACCTGGTGTTTGTGTTGTGTGGACCTGGTCTGTGTGTTGTGTGGGCCTGGTCAATGTGTTGTGTGGACCTGGTCTGTGTGTTGTGTGGACCTGGTCTGTGTGTTGTGTGGACCTGGACTGTGTGTTGTGTGAACCTGGCCTGTGTATTGTGTGGACCTGGTCTGTGTGTTGTGTGAACCTGGTCTGTGTGTTGTGTGGACCTGGTCTGTGTGTTGTGTGGACCTGGACTGTATCTTGTGTGGACCTGGTTTGTGTGTTGTGTGAACCTGGTCTGTGTGTTGTGTGAACCTGGTGTTTGTGTTGTGTGGACCTGGTCTGTGTGTTGTGTGAGCCTGGTCAATGTGTTGTGTGGACCTTGTCTGTGTGTTGTGTGGACCTGGTCTGTGTGTTGTGCGGACATGGACTGTGTGTTGTGTGAACCTGGCCTGTGTATTGTGTGGACCTGGTCTGTGCGTCGTGTGAACCTGGTCTGTGTGTTGTGTGGACCTGGTCTGTGTGTTGTGTGAACCTGGTCTGTGTGTTGTGTGGACCTGGACTGTATCTTGTGTGGACCTGGTGTGTGTGTTGTGTGAACCTGGTCTGTGTGTTGTGTGAACCTGGTCTGTGTGTTGTGTGAACCTGGCCTGTGTGTTGTGTGGACCTGGTCTGTGTGTTGTGTGGACCTGGTCTGTGTGTTGTGTGAACCTGGTATGTGTTTTGTGTGGACCTGGTGTGTGTGTGTGTTGTGTTAACCTGGTCTGTGTCTTGTGTGGACCTAGTGTGTGTGTTGTGTGAACCTGGCCTGTGTGTTGTGTGAACCTGGTGTGTGTGTTGTGTGGACCTGGTCTGTGTGTTGTGTGGGCCTGGTCAATGTGTTGTGTGGACCTGGTCTGTGTGTTGTGTGGACCTGGTCTGTGTGTTGTGTGGACCTGGTCTGTGTGTTGTGTGGACCTGGACTGTGTGTTGTGTGGACCTTGTCTGTGTGTTGTGTGGACCTGGTCTGTGTGTTGTGTGAGCCTGGTCTGTATCTTGTGTGGACCTGGTGCGTGTGTTGTGTGAACCTGGTCTGTGTCTTGTGTGGACCTGGTGTGTGTGTTGTGTGAACCTGGCCTGTGTTGTGTGAACCTGGCCTGTGTGTTGTGTGGACGTGGTCTGTGTGTTGTGTGAACCTGGTCTGTATCTTGTGTGGACCTGGTGTGTGTGTTGTGTGAACCTGGCCTGTGTGTTGTGTGGACCTGGTGTGTGTGTGTGTGTTGTGTGAACCTGGTCTGTATCTTGTGTGGACTGGCGTGTGTGTTGTGTGAACCTGGTCTGTGTGTTGTGTGAACCTGGTGTGTGAGTTGTGTGAACCTGGTCTGTGTGTTGTGTGGACCTGGTGTGTATGTTGTGTGAACCTGGTCTGTGTGTTGTGTGGACCTGTTATGTGTGTTGTGTGGACCTTGTCTGTGTGTTGCGTGGACCTGGAATGTGTGTTGCGTGGACCTGGTGTGTGTGTTGTGTGAACCTGGTCTGTGTGTTGCGTGGAACTGGTCTTTGTGTTACTTTCAACCCTTTATTAAGCTTCTTGCTAAATAAAGGGTTGAAAGTAACGTTACTGAATTTATTAAGAAAATACAATTTGACCCTCATTGTATTTATAATACATAACTATTAACTATTTAGTGTGTGGTGTGTGTGTGTGTGTGGTGTGTGTGTGTGTGTGTGTGTGTGTCTGTCTGTCTGTCTGTCTGTCTGTCTGTCTGTCTGTCTGTGTGTGTGTGTGTGTGTGTGTGTGCGTGTGTGAGTGTTCTGTGTGGAGGTCAGAGGTAATAGTAGCTGTGTGTGGTGGAAGTGACAATAGATGTGTGTGTGGAGGTCTGAAGTGACAATAGCCATGTGTGTGGTACGATGAAACAGTAGCTGTGTGTGTGTAGGTCAGAAATAACAATAGCTGTGTGTTTAGGTCGGAAGTGACAATAGCTGTGTGTGGTGGTCGTAAGTGACAGTAGCTATGTGTGTGTGGAGGTCGGAAGTGACAGTAGCTATGTGTGTGTGGAGGTCGGAAGTGACAATAGCTGTGTGTGTGCAGGTCGGAAGTGACAGTATGTGCGTGTGTAGAGGTCGGAAGTGGCAATAGCTGTGTGTGTGTGGAGGTCGGAAGAAACAATAGCTGTGTGTGGTGGTCATAAATGACAGTAGCTATGTGTGTGTGGAGGTCGGAAGTGACAGTAGCTATGTGTGTGTGGAGGTCGGAAGTGACAGTAGCTATGTGTATGTGGAGGTCGGAAGTGACAGTAGCTATGTGTGTGTGGAGGTCGGAAGTGACAATGTTGTGTGTTTAGGTCGAAAATGACAATAGCTGTGTGTGTGGAGGTCGGAAGAAACAGTAGCTGTGTGTATGGTGGTCGGAAGTGACAATAGCTGTGTTTTTAGGTTGGAAGTGACAATAGCTGTGTGTTTAGGTCAGAAGTGACAGTAGCTATGTGTGTGGAGGTCGGAAGTGACAGTAGCTATGTGTGTGGAGGTCGGAAGTGACAGTAGCTATGTGTGTGGAGGTCGGAAGTGACAGTAGCTATGTGTGTGGAGGTCGGAAGTGACAGTAGCTATGTGTGTGGAGGTCGGAAGTGACAGTAGCTATGTGTGTGGAGGTCGGAAGTGACAGTAGCTGGGCGTGGGTTACAGGAGAAGCCACGACCGTTCACGAGGCTGCTGGAGTCTGTGGAGCGAGCCCGTACAACGAGGGAAGGTTCAGCAGCTGACAAGCCCAACAAGCTCTCCAACAGAGGTACGCCCACACAGAACTACGCCCACACGCCCACATAGCAGTTGCTCCGGGGTGGGGGAGGGAGAGGGGGGGGAAATAATATGAGGGCAACGTTAGAGCATGACCAATAGCAAGTTCGGGGGAAAGTGGCTGGATTTTAATCTTACAGTCGCACGGACCACATCGAAAAAGAGAGCCTCTTACACCCTTAACTCATGCATGTTTTTATTTCTTTTCTACACTGTTTCTGTGTGGTTTGTTTCTTTATATAATATCGTTTTTTTTTAGTCTAGTACTAAAACACCACAATACTGTTTATATTAAGTATAATGTGAGAGTATAGAGGTGGCTGTGGAAGGCAGCGTTATTGCGGTCTGGTGTGTTGCAGGTTTCAACGGTAGCAAATCATCGCTAGGTGGAGATTCTCTCGACTCGAAGCGCTCACATGGCTCTCCTGAGCGGCGGAAGTCCATCCTCAAGCACCGAGACCCGGAGACCGAGCAGCTGCTGCCGGACCTCACCTACTCCCCGCCAAGCGAACACGAGAAGCTGGGGCGTCCCACTCTGAAGGGCATTGGGCCAAGGACGGGCGGAAAGCCTCACGCCCTCCCCGTCAAGTTTGTGGGCGTGGACGAGGAGGAGGACAGCAATCGCCCGCGCCGCATCCTGCCCCGCTCTCCCATGCCAAGGAGACACCCCCAGCGAGCGCCGCTTGCGGACCTACTCGCAGATTTCGCTGGGCAGGAAAAGGCGGCACGGGACGAGGCGACTCCGGAAAATATTTTAAAAGATTCACTGGAGCCTAATCTGGCGACCAGCCTTGACCAGCGTAACGCCAACACGGTGCTGCGCTGTTCTAAGGCGCCATGTTTATATAACCAGCCGACCTCCACCTCGCCCATGGCCATATTCCCTGGCGAGGTGGGCGAGCCGCTGCTCTGCCTGTGTGGGGCGCCCATGACCCGGGTGGCCGCTCATTCGCCCACCATCATCACACCCACCAGCGCCCTGCCTCACTCCCGCCCACTCTTGGAGAACTGCCTCCTCATTGATGACCTCAACAACGGCCCGGCAACCTTGAGAAACATGGATGATCTGCTCTTCGCCGACCACACCCCCACAGAGGAGACTCACCTTCTGGACCGCTCCCTCTCTCTCACACACAACTCCGGCCTTAACAGCTAACCCGTAAGTACCACTTACTTATTTATAAATGAAGATAACATCCTTGCCTCCTGCAGATCTATGACACTCGAAGATCAGCCGCCTATGGATTTTCGGATGACTTGTGTATTTCGGACGATTTTTCAGTGGATTTTAAATGACGTTAGAAAGATATCCAATCATACAAGAAAGATGAGGTATGATCACAGTGTATATAGTGTATGTGTCTGGATCAAAATAGCTGACAGCTGCTCACAGTGTATATATTGTATATATCTGGGCAACATATAACTACCCTTCCTGGGTGCACATGTGACTGAATCTCAAATCAAAGGCTATTGGTGCCAGTGGAATTAGGCTACCTATGCTTATTAAGTAGGCCTATAGATCTATCATTTATTAGAATATGTGAAGATTTCTTTATCATTATTTCCATCTATTAGACTGTTAGTTTAATTTTCTTTATGCATATATATATATATATATATATATATATATATATTATATATATAATATATATATATATATTATATATATATTTTATATATATATATAATAAACTAGAATTGCAATTTATATGTGTTGTAAGGTACGGTTAGTCTTGTGGTTGATTAACCAACACTGAAAGTCTTGTCAGGACATTGTAAGTAGCGTCCTTAATTAAGAAGCTGCAGGTCATGTGTTAAAAACACTGCTAAAATGATGTTTTTAATTGGTACAACTAGACGAACTTGGGCACTGTTATTATTATTGTGGTTGCTGTTGTTATCATCATTATTATTAGTAGTAGTAGTAGTAGTAGTGGTAGTAGTAGTAGCAGCAGTATTAATAGTAGTAGTAGTAGTATTAGTAGTAGTAGTAGTAGTAGTAGTAGTAGTAGTAGTAGTAGTAGTAGTGGTGGTGGTTTAATAAGTAAGTGTTAAGCCCATATATATTATTTTCACAAAAATTTACAAAGTTTGACTTTACAGGGATAAAAATATAACAAAAATGGATGACTTTCCTTTGAAAATGTTTTAGAAGTAATATGTTAGTGTTATATTATGTGTTTGTTTTTAATGTGCTGAAGAAAGCAACAAGCAATAACAGCATGAGTGATCAGGACCGAAGCTCGAGCCTTCTGACAACACGAGTGACAGCAGGACTGACAACGGCAGTGACAGCTCGAGTAACAATAGGACTGACAACAAGAAGCCCATTCAAAAAAAAATAAATAAAAAATTCCTTCATGAAAATCAAGCTTCCCTGAAAATGGTCACCCATCGAGTCGCTGGTCGAAACTAGCAGTGCTTAACCTGACTGACTCTCACAGCCGCACTCTTCACGAGCAGTGTCAGCTCTCAACAAGTGTCAGCGTGTTGCTTCAATATCGCCCGTTAAAGTAGCTGAACATCACATACGGAACTCACTGTCATGCCTCTGATTCTTGCTTTATTTCTCCCATATCACAAAATTTGCTAACATTCTCAAAGAGGACTTCGAGTCATTGGTTTGCACGGTTCCGATAACTTCTTCAGGACTCCTGCCACCGTTTACAAAGGGGGAACAACACCAAATGCATCTAACGAAATGGAATTCAGACCTAATTCTCACGTGGAAGTAAAGGCTACAATAGAAAGAGCCTTATACGCTGCATGTGCCCTTAGAGAAGAGTATAGTGGCCATTTGTCGCCATTTGTTTTGCAAGAGCGGTAACCAATAGGGAGCTGCCTCAGGCTTATTGATCCACCCAATGTCCGAATGCGTAGTGTTCTCCCGTGTCTTGCCAGTATTCTGAGTACACTATCAGTGTTTTCGTTGAATTCTTTGTTCTACAGCAACACCTACATAATACATCTGGACTGCTCGTTCCTTCATCACGTAAATATTTTAAACGTTGAGTTCGGCAGTGTTGCTGTTATTGATCCTCTGCGTTACTGTTATTGATCCTCTGCGTTATTGCTGTTGATCATCCGCGTTACTGTGTTACTGTATTTGAGTTACTGTGTTGATCCTCCGCGTTACTGTGTTACTTTTATTGATCCTCTACTAATAGAAAACTAATGTAGAGGAAAGTAAGACGTGTTGGGGAACTTTTCTCTCTCAAGGATGAGGAGAGCGACTTGAGAAGCGTCACTGTTGCTCCCTTGGACGTTTTCTTACACTTATTTATTTCATGCCGAAAGGCTACAAATATTTTTACAGTGCCTGATGGAGGGTCTCCTCTGAGTTGGTAAGATGGACGGTTTCGAGACCCGAAATATCTCGAAACGTACGGAAATTCCTCAGTCAGTGAGATGCGAAGAGGATCCCAACTATAGAACTGCTACTACAACTACTACTACAACTTACCCATCCCTTTGGGTATGACCTACTTCCACTAGGATATCCCGCCTACCAGTGATTATGCCCTCGTCTACTACCCGTCCCAATCCACCTGACGTTAGTATATAAGCGCCAGCCTTCTTGCCTGTCCAGAAACTTCAAGACTACGGTGCTCTTCACACTAATTCCAAGGCTGAGGGACTGATTACCTCATCTTTTGTATATAGTTCTATTGTCTTCAAATTATGTTCTAGAATCTGTATTGATAAAGCCACTAGATGGCGAAACGTCTACAGTAAAGATACCCAGATGTTGCACAGGTGTCTCAGTTTTCATCTTGTTGGTATTGTATACCATTCTTGTACAAGCAGAGATCTTGCGGTCCGTCTGAACGAGTACCGAAATGCCTGTAACAGAGACGAGTTAGGTACGATTGTGACCTCCACAGAGACTCCACGGGGTATTTGATGAACTGGGATGAGGCACAACTCGTTCTCACCGAACAAGACCTTAGACGCCGACGGTGTCTAGAACGTAACACTGGAAACCACAAATTTTCTAAAATAGCATACATGATACTCAAGCAGGCAAAGCAGCACCTACCCAGCAACACAGGAGTCACATGATCTCATCGTCTACCCGTTCTCATCCCAGTATTGCATTCTTCAGGTCACCATGCGTCACTCACACCTCTCCGCCTATATATACTGTCTTTCAACCTCTGTATGTTATGTTAGGTGATACCCCATCTCAACAGTGGTACCGAACAGCGACTCAGGGAGAATCCCCTCCATATGACAGAAACTGGTCCAGAGTGCAGTGTACCGCCATCCATCGGCTTCGTTTGGGCTTTCCCACAGCCAAGATGATGGCAGATAAGGCTGAGGAGATGTGCCAGTACTGCCAGCGCGTTGTCCAGCTCCCCCTAAAACACTATCTTCTGGAGTGCGAAGTTACTGAGACACTCCGCAGGCAACTAGCACTGATATCCCCTCCCGAAGAGGACCCAGAGATGACTGCGGCCACACTAGTGTACCATGGAGTCAACGAACCAGACAAGCTGTTACCCGCGATAAACGACATATCCTCCTCCTCGCTAGTGTCCACAGTTAGGAGTACATGTGGTGTTGTCGCTTAAGAGACGCAGATGAACTGACCAGAAGAGTGTTTGAGCAGCATATGTCGCATCATTGTAGAAACCTTTCTCCCTCGGGAGCCAGAGACGGGTCATCGCAAGATTGAGACCCGTGCCCGGACTACGGTCTTGGCGAACATTATACATACATACTTCTGTATATTAGAAGTAATCAAGGTCTCGGGGTCGAAACGTTTTCTAATTAATATGTCCTATTGTTTGTTTACGTGTTTTTCTAAACCAGCTTGTCAGTATTTATTCATCGTATCGGTATTTTATGCCATTTCTTTCCACCTCTGTATTCGACTGAAGAAGTCTGCTGTGTAGGCGAAACGTTTCGGAATAAAGATACCTGATTGTTAAATAACAAAAAAATCCACAATACCGTGACTGGAACGATACACAAAAAACCCGCACATAGAATTGTTGCACAGATTGTCGGTGTCGCATCCAGTTGTTGTATTATTATATAGACCTAACACTTCCTTGTGAGTATACTAGTAATGATAATGATGATAATAGTAATACCAATAATACTAAAGAGGGTGATAAATTAGACACATGTGCAACTCTTGGGTATGTAAAGTAAAAGGACACAAGTGCAACTAATGTGACATTTATTGTGGCAACGTTTCGCTCTCCAGGAGCTTTATCAAGCCATGATAAAGCTGAAGATTGAGACACTTATGCAGCATATGTGTCTTACCTAACAGCATATGGGAATCTTTATTCAGGAAACGTTTCGCCACACAGTGGCTTCATCAGTCCAATACAAAGAGGAAGGCGTAAGGAGAGGAGGAGTATGAGGTAATCAGTCCCTCAACCTGGAGTCGATGTGTTCAGTCCATCAATCTTGATGGACTGAACACGATGGAAATAAATGGTATAAAATACCGACACAATGGCAATATAAACACAAATGCAGTATAATGTGATCCTTTATTGACTACGTTTCGCCCACACAGTGGGCTTTTTCAAGTCACAAACAGAACTACCTGGGGTGGAAGGAACGCGAGTATTTATAGTCCGGCTGAGGTCAGGTGAAGAATGCTGCATCTGATGATGTACCGAGTTGGGTTGTAGAGTCTAAAAACTTGGGTAGCTTGGAAAGGAGACTGGACAAGTTTGTGAGCAGACCTTCTACAGTGTTCTTATGTGGGATAGCGATGAAGAAGTTTCTTGGCAAGTGGTTCAGCTATGTTATAGAAGCCATATTCTGGTTGAAGTTGTCGGATATAGAAATAAGTGATGATTCCAGGATTCTTCGGTATTGGGTGTTGTCTTCTGTGGCGATAAGTCTTGAGTTTCTGTAGTTTATCAAGTGGTGTGTGAATTACGGTGTTGTATGCAGGCATTCCTTGTGTCGTCAGACCTGCTTGCGTATTGGTGTTCTGAAATACGTGTTTGGAGGTCCCTTGATGTTTCGCCCACGTATAACTGTTGCAGTCATTACAAGGGATTATGTATACCCCTGCAGAGGATGGAGGCTTGTCCTGCCTACTACTGGTGATGTCCTTGATGGTCGTGGTATCTACCTCCACAACCACGACCATCAAGGACATCACCAGTAGTAGGCAGGACAAGCCTCCATCCTCTGCAGGGGTATTAATCAATCCCTTGTAATGACTGCAACAAGTTATACGTGGGCGAAAATCAAGGGACCTCCAAACACGTATTTCAGAACACCAATACGCAAGCAGGTCTGACGACACAAGGAATGCCTGCGTACAACACCGTATTCACACAACCACTTGATAAACTACAGAAACTCAAGACTTATCGCCACAGAAGACAACACCAATACGAAGAATCCTGGAATCATCACTTATTTCTATATCGACAACTTCAAACCAGATAGTGGCTTCTATAACATAGCTGAACCACTTGCCAAGAAACTTCTTCATCGCTATCCCACATAAGAACACTGTAGAAGGTCTGCTCACAAACTTGTCCAGTCTCCTTTCCAAGCTACCCAAGTTTTTAGACTCTACAACCCAACTCGGTACATCATCAGATGCAGCATTCTTCACCTGACCTCAGCCGGACTATAAATACTCGCGTTCCTTCCACCCCAGGTAGTTCTGTTTGTGACTTGAAAAAGCCCACTGTGTGGGCGAAACGTAGTCAATAAAGGATCACATTATACTGCATTTGTGTTTATATTGCCATGGACTGAACACATCGACTCAAGGTTGAGGGACTGATTACCTCATTATCCTCCTGTTCTTCAAGTTTATCCTACGTATGGACTGATGAAGCCACTGTGTGGCGAAACGTTTCCTCAATAAAGATACCCAAGAGTTGCACATGTGTCTAATTTATCAACATGTCGGTTCTCTGAACCATTCATCTACTAAAGAGGGTAATTGTGTTTGAAATATAAGGGGGAGAAGTTGGATCTCAGAAAGACCTACCTAGTATGGGCCAGTAGGTTCTTAAAATATAAGAAAGGGGGAACACTGCAGCAAGCCTACTGGCCTATACTAGGTAGGTCCTTCTCAGACCCAAACCCACTAACAAAAAAATTTGCCCAACCCATTTTCAGTGCTACCCAAGGAATAAGTTTTAATAACAATATTATTAACTCATGTACAAATCCCACTCAAATCCAACCCCTCTCACTCATGTATTTATCTAACCTAAATTTGAAGCTAGCCAAATTTTTAGCTCCAGTGATCCTACTAGGCAGACTGTTCCACTCATTGACTACTCTATTTCCAAACCAATACTTTCCTATATCCTTCCTAAACCTAAACTTATCCAATTTGAATGCTTTCAGGTTGTGTTATGAATGTCGACATTCCTTACTTCTGGTCGCCTCTAGAGGGGCTCCGCCAGCACTGAACGGAGACGTTCGATTTGTCCTTCGGGAGCGTCCCATGTGCCTCTTCCCTCCTGACGATGCCCGATGTTCTCTCGTCCTTGCGAAGTCAAGTGTACACCTGGAGTCTAGTGTGCACTCGAAGTCTGACGTGACGCTTGTGAAAAGTATCCTGTGTTGGAAACTAGCTGATTGTGGGGAGACTGATGTGAGGGAAAGTAGCAGAATACAAGCTAGCTAACTGTAGGAAGTCAGCGAGTGTGCATAACTAGCAGAATTCAGGAAGTTACCGGGAAGTAGGAAGCAAGTAGAATGGGGTTAGTGTGTCTGTTCGGAAAGCTAGCAGAGTGTGGGAAGTTAGCAGGTGTGGGAAGCTAGCTGAGAAGTTAACGGAATGTAAATAACTAACGTAGTGTGAGAAGTTATCAGTGTGTTGAAAAGTAGTAAAATATTAAGAGCCAGCAGAGTATAGAAAGCAAGTGGAGTGTGAAAAGTTAGTGGAATGTGGGAAGCCAGAGGACTGTAAGAGGTTAGCAGGTGTGAGAAGCTAGCGGAGTGTATTAATCTAGAGAAGTGTGAGGATAAAAGTAGTGTGGGGTGTGGGAGGCCTAGGGATGACCACCTCTTAGGTTAGTAAGGCATAAAAGACGAGAGAACCACAAAACAATAAAGACCAGCTTAAATTACCAGCCAGTTCCTGGGACGGCGATAACCCAGAATGTAGAGTACGCTAGAGAGTTTCTAAGAAGTATGAAAAGTCATGTGAAAAGTCATAAATGTGTGTGAAGAAGAGAGACGGTGGAATAACATCTTTGCATTATGAAACTCACTTAGCTAGGTCAAGTAGTATGCCAGGTGAGATAACATTGGAAAAAGGCTAGGTGGATAGACTATGCATAGTAACAGAATAGTAGCCAACAGTTTACAATGATTAGATGTTTGAACCGAAAATGGGTGTTGTGTCCGGAATGTGACAGCGAGAGTATGGCGTATTGGATAAGTCATGTATAGGAAACCAATTTAGCAGTCCAGAGTGTTGTAAGCTAGCGTGTACAGCAGAGCAAAGAGCGTCACGGGGGATTCTTTGAGATGAAAAATGAAGCCACCAAAATTTTGGCTTAAGCCCGGGGCCATGGAACTCCTGGGTGAGCAGGTGGCATCACTGTGGGGCCATACAAAGTCATACAAGGCCTAAGCTGGATCATCCGAGTTTGTGGTGATGAACCACAACCTCTGTATGGCTCTACGTGAAATTATATAATATATATATAATATATATATCTATATATATATATATATATATATATATATATATATATATATATATATATATATATATATATATTATATATATATATATATATATATATATATATATATTATATATATATATATATATATATATATATACATATATATATATATATATATATATATATATATATATATATATATAAGAGGTTTTTAAATCATGCTTATCGTTAAAGTAACAAGGCTGAGGTTAGAATCTCCAAAAAATTGTTTTAAAACAAAAAAAATGACTTCAAATTTTCTGGGTTGGAGCCTTGTGTTACAATCGTCTTATGATAGATATATTTACAGAACAGTGGAGCCTTAGAAGCAGCCACAATGGGCAGTGTTAAAGAAGGGTTTAGGGCGCGTCCGCCCCCTCCTCTCCCAACAGTATTGATGCAAGTATCGTGCGTAGCTCTGACCATGGGATTCGCAGGTCGGTAAGTTGCTAGTTTCTTCTTCAACTCAGCTACAAAAGATTCCGCTGAAATAAATTACTGGCATTACTGAATCCCTTCTCGAAATCTTTGTCCATGCCATGGCATTTGATAACGGAGAACTTAAACACTTAAAAAATAAGAACAAAAATAGTCTCATTCGGAATACCAATCTATAAACACAAATTTATTCTCCTGGTTACCGCCTGCGAAGTCGATGGTCACTGTAGGTTCTAGTGTAAAGTTATTACTGTAGTTCTGTAGCGGCGACGCCAAGGTGATAAAACCTAGGATTTACCAGCTTTGTGCGCCTACAAGCCATTCCGCCAGAAAGTCAGCCAAGCAGCCAGCCAGCGCCGCCTTCCGTGTCTGTAAAACTCCGCTATTTGCACCGTCACCAGCCAGTGTGCTCGTCGCATGGGACACTTGTCACCGCACTCAACAAGCTCAGTGTCACTTCACGAAACAAAAGAAGATCAGTTATACATAAATATATGCAACTCACTGAACAGAGGGCTCGATACCATGGCAAGCCAATCCTAAATGCTCCTAGCTGGGTGAATCTCAGTATATTTGGCCGGCATGGCACAGTGCACATCATACTACTCCGCTAGCTTTAAGACTGCCTTGGCGAGGTATCGAACTCCATCCTTTCCGTGAGTGATACATTCACACAAATACATATACACAAGAATATCAAGGGACAAAAACTATGGTGGTGACAAAAAAAAATAACAAAAAATTACTTCCGTACCTGACAAACTTTTGAGATAACCAGGACCAGTGAAGTGTTTGTTGCGAGTCTATAATGATCTCTTTGTATTATGTTAATGTAATCTCAAGAAGACAGGGAAACGAAGGAGCTGTTGCAGGTATATCTCAAGGACCTTTTTATCCGCTTTATAGCCAGTCCCATGCGATGGTAATACTGTCATCACCTTAGAGCAGAATAAACATTTTCTTCCTCTGGTGCTTTATTAAAAAAAATGCTACAGTTATATTTGAAAAGGACAAAACTCACTGCCTCATTTTTGAGCTGGCGGTGAGACTCACGCCAGAAAAGGCAGGAACACAGTAGTGTACCTTTTCTGTTTTATTCCAGTGAACGTATGGAAGGTTTTATCCTTACTAGTAATAAAAGGGAGAATTGTGATATTATTAATATTACTCTTAAGCTCAAATAACTACAAAACCCACAGTGTTATGAGAGTCTTTTCCTGGAGGATGAGAGAGAAACACTCTTCAGTTTTGACACATCATGAGACAAGGAGGCAAAAAATGGAGCTTTAATTATTATATGTACCGTAAGGCTCATTTTACCCTCCTAATGGTTTAAATAACGAGCTATATGCACATGCCAACCCATAGTTTTAAATAGTACTTTTCTACGCATGATTTCACAAATATTTACGAGGCATAAAATGGTTTAACTGGCATACAGATATAGCTTGTTTATATACATTAAAATTAGGTAAGACAAGACTATAATGATGGCCAATATACTAAGATATCTGTCAAAAGTATTCACATTAAATCTGGACTTTACACAAGATAAAGATTTTTCAGGTAACTTGTTGACACAAATCTTTTTCATATTGCGCAGAACCATTCTGTATTATTCGTTTACAATTGTTGGTATTTTTTCTGAATGTTAACAAGTGAATAATTATGTATATTGTTGGTAAATAAATATGTAGAGGTTCTCCTTTTCTCATGAGTGTACTAAACAAAACTCGTTGTAATTTGCCGAGATGTTGTTTATGAATTGTTACAGTCATTATTGTTCAATACGTGTGTGAGAGTTTTCCCCGCCTCATATTTTTTCACTGAAGGATGAATAGCATACCTCAAACCTCAGGTCATCCAGGCTGCTTTTCTGACGCGACCTGGCCCCATTCCTTCCTGCTCCCCTTCTTGGGTGAGCTCGAAGCGTGGTCGCTCCTTCCTGTTCCTCGTTCTTGGGCGAACGCGAAGCGCGGTCGCTACTTCCTGTTCCCCGTTCTTGGGCGAGCTCGAAGCGTGGTCGCTCCTTCCTGTTCCCCGTTCTTGGGCGAGCTCGAAGCGCGGTGGCTCCTTCCAGTTCCCTCTTCTTGGGAGAGCTTGAAGCGTGGTCGCTCCTTCCAGCTCCCCGTTCTTGGGCGAACGCGAAGCGCGGTCGCTCCCTCCTGTTCCCGTTCTTGAGCGAACTCGAAGGCTACAGCAGAGGCGCAAGGTAGGATACAGTGTCTCACCAGAGTGCCCACTGAGTGACCAGGTTAGACAGTAACACGGGGTGCTGGGTGACCCGTGGTCATCGGGATGCACACTTGTAATTCCCAGTGTATACAAGAGACTGATTACAACCTGTGCGGTTATTATAGCTCTTTATCAAATCTAGATCGTTTATTATTTCTTAAACCTACCTGACGAAATGTGACCTGGAGAAGGTGAAGCCTTCACAGTTGATGGGCAGAGTTACACCAGTACAGTCTGATAGGTAGCTTTATACCAGTATAATCTGATGGGTAGAATTACACCAGCATAATCTGATGGGCAGTTAAACCAGTACCATCTGATGGGCAGAGTTACATCAGCATCGTCTTACGGGCAGTTACATCAACACCATCTGATGGGCAGATTTAGAGTAGCACTATTTGATGGGCAGATTTACAGTAGCACTATCTGATGGGCAGTTACAGCGATACCAACTGAGGGACAGGGTTAAAATAGTGCCAGCAGAAAGACTATTGTTATTGTTCCCCCGAGTGGCACATCAGCAATAGCTACAACAACAAACCACGTACAAGTGTAGCATTAGGAGAGTGTTGCTAGCAGGTGTCTTATTAACACTGACGTTCATGGTAGCCCTCTGCCCACACTGACGTACATGGTAGCCCTCTGCCCACACTGACGTACATGGTAGCCCTCTGCCCACACTGACGTTGATAGCAGTCTCTTGCCAACATTGCTGCTGTTGGTGTTTGCTGGCATGGACACTCAAAAAATGATTATTTGCCGAGCGTTTTTTCAGTTACTCGAGCAAACATAAGCATTAGGCTACACAACCAAATTATAATCACGTGACTGCAGAAAAAAATATACATTTATTCCATGACGGATAACGAACCCAGTGACTAAGCCGCCATAATACCATATATATATATATATATATATATATATATAATATAATATATATATATATATATATATAAAATATATATATATACATATAAAATATATGTTAGGTTAGGTTTGTGAGGGATGAGGAGAAGTGTTTCCTGACGCGGGTCTTAGATATATGATGACCCACAACTGGAGTTTTTGGTCATCTGACCGAAGCCTTCCACTGGCTTACCTCTCCACCCCTTTCAATATTAACTTAAATAACACTTTTTTTCTGTCTAATCCCAAACCGTTATTTTTTTATTTTTTTTAATTTTCGAGGAAGATCATGGCGCCTCTGCCTATCTTATTTCACGCCCTCAAGAGACTTCATACGTGACCAACATGTCATGCAACTAGCATTATGAACAGTTTTGTTGTTCAATTATTTCTGTACACAGGTCATTCCCATTACGAGATATATTTTTGATGGTATTGTCTTCAGAATTGCCTCTCCCTTCATTCTAACACATTACTCCATTACTCGCCATAATTACCCACTGGTGTTCAGTAATTAATCTAATTTTAATTACATTCACAATAATGCGCTTAATTCGTATGGGTCCTTAGGGGCTCCTTTATTAACCTTAATGACAACTGCAGCTGCGTCAAATCTTTTTGAGATTATGTATTATATTAAGAACTAAATCAATATTTTACACACATTCACGTTGTGTACATGCCAGTTACAACTTCTCAGAATAGGCCTACTCGTTTTCCCCATAATATTAATCAAAAAAAATATTCTTGATTCAAAATAGATGATAATAACCACCAGACAGAAGTTGTCCTCAACACATCTCTAGTTTAAAAAACAAGTCTTAGCATGTTAGATGAAACAATTCACAACTAATCCATGAATTCCATTTCAAATTTATGAATTAGTAATAACACGATTGCAAACAAACCATACCAGGGGTTGGGTTAGAACCCGCGACCAGAGAGGCTCAACGCGTCGGTCTGGAGTCTTGAAACTGATCGCGGGTTCAAGCCCCACCCGTGGTATGGTTTGTGAATTAGTGTTAAAGTGGTGATCCATGTCAACAAAGAAGGCCACCATCATGGTGGGGGCCATAGCATCATCCTTCTTCAGGTACACAAGGATTTTATTTTCGAAATCTTTCACACCGTTATGTATTATACACAGGCCAGATGATAATACTATAGACGTTCTTTGTCACGTGATCTACCATCAAAAACCAAATTATATGCATGGGTATCTTAAACTGCTACTAGTGTACTGTTTCTGCTGGCCCCGTGGGCGCAGCCAGGACAGTTGGCACTGAAGTTAGGAGAGTCAGTGCCATACTGTAGAGAGAGAGATGTTACTCCTCACTTCTACAGCGGCAGACTATTACAAGTGCATGTATGCAATT